TATTTCATCGACAGTGGCGCGCCAGGTAGAGGGTGTGCGTACTGCTCCCCAGACGAACAAGATGGTTATCATCCCCGGTTCCATGGCTACGCCGAACGGCCTCACGTTCACCATCGGCCAGATCACCTGGACCACTAGCCCCGACAACTTCATCGCCATGACCACGGAGGAGGCGCGGATCCAATCTGCGTCGAGCACTACTTCACCAGCATCGGCTACGGCTCCGACCATGTTGGATCCGGCTCCGGCCACACCAGCATCGTCTTCATCCACGCCGACAACCCGTTGTTCGCTTCCTCGCTACAAAGGGAGGCAGATCGACAACATCGACCTGCTCAACTCCATCGATCGGGTCGGCACCAAGCTTGCTGAAACCCTAGCTCTGGTAGATTCGATTCAAAATCAACCTACCGAGCAGGTAACCACTACCCACAACAGATCTACCCGACCAGCTCGGGCCAGTCGTCTTGCACGACTCGGTACGGATCTCGTGGTCACGTCTACTCTTGAAGGGCGCTCTGTTCGTCGCTGACCAGCCCCCGCAATGGGTCTCCGGCCCTCCGAGTGCGAAGCCTTGATGGAGAATTACTAGGCCCAGCCCTATGGCCTGCGAAACACTGCTTCCAACTACGCGTACAATATACAACGCTGCTCGGATTTGTGTTTTATACATCGACCTCGGCCAAAGCCACGCAACTTCGTCAACATGGTTCGGATTGAGGAGTATCAAGAAGGATCGGTCCACACAGTTCAAGAGGGCGGCTCAAGCTCCCTGTCCAGCACCGCATCTAATGGCTCCATCCACACTGAGCTTCAGCTTCGTGACGATGAAGAAGTTGAATACGATCTGGATATCCCAGACCACCCCCGGGGTTTCCCACGATTCCCATCCTTCCCACCAAGGCGAGGAGGCTTGATCAATGTCGTCAGTAATGACGAACCCCCGGCAGTTGACGAAACAGAATAAGAAAGGCTAGCACGTGAAGCACGCAATATTGACTGGCTTAATCGCAGAGAAGCCGAAGCCGAGGAGGCACGACGCATAAGGCTCCAGCCACACGATCTCAACAATGCCTTTGATAGGGTAGGGGAGAAGCAGGTCTTCAGGACTCCAAGCGCCAACGTAGCTGTTGCTATGGTGACAATGCAACGACTACCCAATACCCCGGAAATCCAGGCAATTCATGATGATATGCAAGCCTACCTGACGGCTGCCATGGCCCAGACCGCAGAGATTGCAAACCAAGCCCGGGCTTCGTCCGTCTCAGTCGAATCAAGCCGCAGTCGTCAGTACTCAAGTCGCCCACAGCCACCCAACCAACGTGGCTCGCGCAACAATGACCCACTAGACAACCGTCAAGGCGGAAACGGTGGTCATGACGGTGGTCGGGACGACAACCGCCGCGACTACCGGGACGACAACCGCCGCGACTACCGAGACGACAACCGCCGCAACAACCGGGACGATAATCGACGAGACAACCGCGACAATCGCCGTGATAACCGTGGTCGCGGGGTCAACCAGGGTGGCAATCGGGATCGCCGTGATGGCAATAACCATCTCCGCCATTCCCTCGGAGAACGCGATCTGCGCGATCGCATTAACCAAAGAGCCAACGATCGTGCATCCCACGAAAGCTATCGCCGTATGGAATATGATACTACCCACGGCCCTCCGGGTTTGAAGCAGTTTACTCCTCACCTTCGCCAAGTCGTGTGGCCAAAAAACTTCAAGCTCAAAAAACTCCAGAAGTACGATGGCAAGGAGAACCTAGAGTTATGGGTCATGCTCTACGAAACCGCGTGCAGATCTGCCATGGCTGATGAGCACGTCATGTCTAATTACTTCCCAGTCGCCGTCGGCCATGCAGGCCACCAATGGCTGGTCAGCTTGCCGGCAAACTACTTTGATTCTTGGCAAGAGCTCAAGCAAGCATTCATCGACAACTTTATTGCTACTTGCGAACAACCCGACAACAAATATGATCTGCAGCGGATTCGAGATCATAAAGATGAGCCACTGCGCGAGTACGTCCGACGCTTCTCGGAGATGCGCATCAAGGTCCCATCAATCTCCGACAACGAGGCAATCGAAGCTTTCATCACTGGTCTCCGCTTCCACGATGCCCTAAGGGACAAGCTCCTCCGCAAAAGACCTGAATCAGTCACAGCGCTCCTAGCTACTGCTAAAAAATATGCGGATGCTGATGATGCTAAAAAGATAATCATCGAAGAAGCAGCAAGGGTTCCACGCTCCGACCACCCCCCACACCGCGACGACTACCGCGGCAACCGTGGTCGGAACGACAATTTTGATCGCCGCAACCAGCGCAACGATTTTGAGGTGAATGGTTAATTCAATTTAGCAAAATAATTTTTTTGGGAAAAAAGCATAAAGCATGGAGATATTTATATCCGGTACATCCAACAGAATGCTGGCTAGTAGTCCTCACTCAATGAACTATGAAATCAATCGATCCAACTTAATGAACCAGTTCAATCAAATGATCCAATGTTGCTCTGATGATAGGAATATGCTTTGGCTTACTCAAACGCTGCTTGGGTAATAGTATATATAAGATAATATAATTTCAAACGCCAGAAATTCACTTTGAGAAGCTAATAATTAGTGTTAAGGTCAACGCGCTGGCCTGCATGACGGTTGAAGTTGTTTGAAGACTAAATGTTGCTGCAACAATTATATCACGGGCAGTTTTGACCGTGTAATGGTATGGGCGTATGGAAATCTTAAGATTAACTTAGGTCCATACGCCATAGGAATTACCACCTCACAATCATACAACAAACTGAAGAAACAACAGCAATAGGTAATAGTTTTTTCGAACGCAGTAGCAATGGATAATAGTAACTGGAGCAAGAATGTGTACCCATTCACTTGGGCAGAGTGATCTATAGTACTTACCAAACTTTTGACACTCAGGAGCACCCTCCCTTTTTGAAGCTACACACCTGTTATAAAATTGCAATTAGTTACAAAAAGAAGCTGGAAGAACCCCAATTATTTTCTGAAAGAGTTTGGACATACCTATGACATTCAATATAGCGTGTGAAGCAATGTCTTGTTTGATTTGTTGTTGGGAAACGAAAATCTGCTGGAGCTGCCTCCATCTGGATACTATAAATGTTCAGTACCAACTTATAGAATGTAACTGCTCATAGCTAGTTGGTGATGTCGTAACTTAATTTCAGTTTTTTCATAGCTGGTTCGTCAGTTCCCTCACTACTTTCTTCAGTACCAGAAGTTGCCCTCACTACTTTGTCAGTGTCCTCCAACCAAACAGTCAATATTCAATAGGTAGGGTCTGCCTGTAAGACACCACAACACTACATAATTCAGTAAATTCCTGAGAGCAATTCACTTGGAAGGTTCAGTAACACAATATCTCATATGAAATCTGAGGAACAGTAACCAAGGCATGGGTCGTAAGAACACATTTAACGCATAAGATCTAGACTATGTAAGGAGCCATCATTGAATTCTTTTTTTTTAGAAAACCGGAATTAGTAGGCACAATAGGCTGTAATTAGATGAGATCCGAATACAAACGGATTAGGTTTGGCAACAGGAAACAGGGAGAGGCGGGGTGGGCGTACCTGGTGGGTGCTCGTCGCTAGCGAAGGGCCTGATGGTGAGCTGCCGTAGGGCCTGTTCGCCACCGCCCACGGAGGGGAAGAGCCGACACAGGGCGCAGCGGCATCACGAGATCTTTATAGATGCGCGGTTTCTGTTGCGACTTCTGACTCCGGGCCGCCGCTCTCGAACCCCGACTGCGAGACGCGACTGAGCTGGCGCGGCGGTGCCGGCGCTCCTCTCTGCTACTCCGCCAGTTCGCCTCAGTCCGGCCTCTGCAGTCGCGCCGCGCCGCCGCTCCTGTCCCCGCGAGTTGCGACCGGCGTCCACTTTCGCCTCCTCCTCTCCATGGCGGGCAGCAGACGTGTGAGGGGCTGATGGCCTGACGCCGTGACTGAAGCCGGCCTGCTCCAGGCAGGCAGGAAGCCTCCCGCCGCCGCAGGCCCGCAGCGGCACTGTGGCAGTGCGACACCACCCGACGCCCCCTGCTTGAGCTTGCACAGACTGCACAGCAAAGGTATGATCTAGGGTCTGTTTGCTCAATTTTGAATATTTCGATGAATGCTAATGCCTGGGTCCTAATTATTGTACTGCCAATGCTTACGAAGCTATATGATATAAGTTTTCCCCGTGAGCATGTAAGAAACAAATCGTATTGTATTCTTCTATTTCAATTTATAATTTTATCTTGTCTTTTTGAGTAACTATAATATATATTTTTAAAAAGTTTTATATAGAATTGAGGATGGCGACTAAGATGGTGTGAAATTGTTAAGAAATATATCATCTTTTAGCTATCGAATGCTCTTTATTTGGTAATTTTCTATCCGCAATGCTCTACATATCGCTTTAGCACTTTGAATTGATATCATCATTTATGTTCCTTATTATTGTGTCTATTATGTCTATTAGGGTATGGCTAGTGAGATTTCTAGCCTTCTATTATTTAGCTCCCCCACTACTGCGTTTATGGATCCGCCACTGGTTGGAGGAGCCACAAAACGTCTCTTCTAGAATGTTCATTTCACGAGGAGAGAGAAAAACGGATCTTGTGTACAGTGCTGCTACACAGTTGCTGTTGCAGGAGGAGTCGGAGCCACGAGAAGCTATGCCAAATAGACCCTTAGTGATATATACTCTTTTGAACTTTTATGTCATCAGATTAACTTATCAGTTATACAAATACATGGTACAAACACACAACAAACGCAAACAAGCACCGCGTGCTCATAATACAATAATACATGCAAAGGTTCCCAATAATTACCCAAAATTACACCACACCAAGACGAATGGATTGTGTGTGTCCATGGTACAATTTTATTAATTGTTCATAGTTATTCAGAGACAAATAGAGAATGGTTGTCCAGAAACACAGTGGGTGCAGCATGCCAAATACGAATATAACTTAAGCAATAAGGACGGATATGGAGCTTGCATGTTCTTTGTAGCAGTGGGATCTGCAAAGCAAGAGGATAGACTTTTGTTAGCTTGATAAAACATGGTGCATCACATCTTCACATTAAAGTATTAAGCTAATACTAATAGGTGTACCGTTCTAGAAAAATTGTAACCAGTAGATATTATTATAACATAATGAACAATCCTATTACCGTACCTTTCTTGGAACTTGGGGCTGAGGGAAAGCTGATCCCGTAATGCAGTTGCAAGGGAACAGATAGGCGTTTCATGATGACCGATCCCAACATCACAGTAAAACAGCTCAAAGTTCTCGAGTTTTCTAGAAGTCTTAACCACTTCTTCTAGTTGCTCGTACACTCCACATTTCAAGAGTATCTCTATGTAATTGGCATTGTTTCTTACCATCCAAGTCATCAGTTCAATTGTAGATTTCCGTATCCCTGGATATGCGCTAATTGGAGACTTGTACACTTCTAACACCTTCTTCAGCTTCTGGACTAGTGTGCCCACAGTAATATCAGGTTGCTCGAGCGTTTCGATGGCATCGCTTGCATTCATGGAGGTGCAAATCTTCACTGCGAGGCTGATAAAGCTTTCTAGCAGTTTACCTTCTTTTATCCTCAGTTCATTATTTGTCTACAAAATTAAAGTATGTGGAACATAAATATTTAAAACAAAAATGGAAATAGGCAGTTTGAATTAGGGAAACTATATTAAGAAGTAGAAAAGCACCAAAAGAAAGGGTAATTTTCTTACATGGGCCAAATTTTCATTCGTAGATTCTGCAGTTTCCAACCCCATTACTTGTATGATCGATGTCAACACCTGAACCATTTTTATCAAAAAATGATTAGGTTGGCAAATTACTTCCTTTTTTGTTTTGATGAAACAGATAAGACAAGCCCTACTGACCGCAATGCTTTCTAAAAAACAGAATGTGTAAAACTAATACAAGTAAAAGGACATGGAAGGAGAACACAGCTGCAGGAGGCAAAACAAAAAAAAAAGCTCTAGTTCTACAAGATTGAATTTAGCCATGTTTTCCTCTTTTGTAAGCCCATGCCTTGTGATATGAAGGGTGTGCAACTGCCTGAATTTCTGTAGTTTTTACAGTGTTTCTGAAAGATTACGATCTATGTGTTTAGGAGAGTAACACTCAAATCCCTTACAATGGGTGTTGGCTCGATCACAGCCCAGAAAGTCGTATCTAGTCTAGATCCGATTCATAACAAGACTTTGGATCCTAGATGTTTACAACTCCAAATACAATAATTAATGTGTCATCCAACAGTCTCTATGCCAACAAAGATCAATTAAGTACGGACTCTTTATCAGTTAGCTAATGCAAACAGAGCCTGTAAATAAGTTGTGCATAAGAAACACGAATGGAAGAGAGTTATTACCTTTGGTAGTGTCTTGTCGATTATATCCATATGGTCCTTAAAACACTTTGTCCCTGTGTAGCCTCGCAAATTCTGGATGAGTCTGGCAACCATGCTTCTTATATTCTTACTGTCTACGGTACACACTATCTTCCTGATTGTTTCCAACATTTTTGTGCCCAGGTTATATTGTTCTAAGCTGACCTCTGTGCTTCTCCTTTTTTCTCCGCATTCAGCAGAGAGCATATTCACTATCACCTTCAGCTCTTTCACGTCAAGTTCTTGTAGGATGGCCTCAATGTTTTCCTGGCAGCTAGTAGACCCAGTAGTGAGCATAACTAGTGCTTGAGCAGCTGCTTCAGCACTGTTTACTCGTGTTGCTGAAAGTAAATCTTTCAGATCAAGTCTTTGTATGATGCGATTCATCCATCTTGGCACATCCAGATATTCCAGCTCAAGTTCTTCTATGATGACCAACATTGGTGGCAGAGATGACGGATTTTCCAGAATATGGTTTCTTAATAACTGAATTTGGCTCAGCTGATCACTTCTGGCGTACTCTAGAAGCAATAATTTGGCAGCCACTTTACTTGTCATGTTTACATGTTGAGTCTTTGAAAGTAGACAATTCTTAAGCATCCTGATGATCTGAGGTGACCTCCCGACCTCTGTCCTTGGCTTGTCATCCAGGGCTAAGCATGATATGACTCTTGCTGCTTCAACATGTGCAGATATAATCCTAGTGCTGCTGTGGAAGTGGAAGTGGAAGTGGGCACTCTCTATGGTTTTGCGCCTAAGCTCTTTGCCAGCTTCACCAGGTGCCGCAACCAACTTTCCCAAGACATTAAGTGACATCCCAGCAATAATTTCTTCATCGATCCTTTGTTGGAAAGAAGTAGGGACCTCTTCTTCGCTGAGGAGCAGAGGAAGAACCTCATTTTCCATCCAAGATTCAGAGTTCCTGCAACTGCCACCCGTGGTAGCATGAGCATGAGCACACAGGTTGGTGAGGCCTATGATCTTGGATAGCAGATCATCACAGTCTTTGGCTTCCCTGCAGTTTTCTGGGTTGTCCGTCAGCTTGTCTAGAATTCTGAGACCAAACCAAACCAGGTCCATGTCTCTCCTCTTGTCCTTGCTTTCTGCGCTGAGTAAAGAGGATATGAGATGCTGGATTCTGGAGAAGCTCTCTACCGGGAGAAGCGGAGCAAGCTGCAGAAGTAATCTTGCGGCGTGGCCTCTGATATCTTCCTCCTCGTCGATGTTGATGGTAAGGCCGAGCATAGTGAACAACGCCTCGGGATTGAGGGAAGCTTGAAGCCTTGCAAGGATCTGCTGTTCTCTGCTTGGCTTGTCACCTGCAGTGATTGATCTGAATATGTAGTCGATGGTGCGAACACCTAGTAGCTGGTCGTCGATGGAACTGGATAACACCAGATTCTTTGCAAATGTCACCAAGTCCATGTTCAGGGTGGGACGCACATTACCCATGATGAACTCCATGTAATTGTCATTCTTGTAGCGGTAGACAATGTCACGACCTGAAGCGGTAACTAGCATGTACTCCCTTCGGAGTTTTAGAAGTTGCCGTCTGATGAGTGGGTTCTGCATGATGATGAAGATGGTGCCCTGGGCAAGAACTAACCCGTAGAAGATGTTCAAGGATCGCTTGATATTCCGGTATTCATTTTGTTGCATGTACTGGGTGTCGACGTAGTCATGCTTGATTAGACGCTTGCAGGACAGGGCCATGCATGTGCTGACCGCCCCGAACTGCGTCAACCGCAAGCCCATCAGCATTACTCTCCCCAAACAGGTGCGGAGTTCGTTCATGTCAAAAAACCCCAACTCCTGCCTGTCTTCTTCTTTCCGGCGGCTGGCTGCTCTTATTTGTCCTCCACTGCTTTGCTGTGGTGCTGCTTCTATTCGTCGTCGCCTCCAACTAACCCCGTGCTCCTCCTTCAAATCTTTCTTGTCATTGTTCAGTGCCTCCGGTACACGCACAAAAAATTGATGCGCGGGGTCCTCGTACCCACCGAAAATCCTGTCGATGCATGATCGAGCAGGTTGCAAGTTAATGAAAGTTATTCTATCGCCGGCTATGGTATGCATACACACACAGCTATAGAATAAGTTATTTTATGGCCTCCTCGATTTATGATAATGTTTATACTAATTCATGATAATAAAGTGATTACACAGTTACGAATTACAACACGTGTTATTACTGTAACTCATGTTCATAATGTTATAGCAAATTACTTAGGAGGAGCTATTGTAATCTCATAAATTACTATCGTCGTTATGGTAACTCAAAGTGGTTATAGAGTAAATTATTCTATGAGTAGCTATAGAATAGTACTTCTATATATATGGCCTCGTTCGCTGGTCTGAAACTTGACTGAAAAACACTGTTTCGGCTGGTTTGTTGTGAGAGAAAAATACTGTAGCGGCTGAAACTGGCTGAATCTCCAGAGGAGAACCAGCCGGCTGGTTCGCTGGAACCAGACCAGCGAACAAGACCTATATTCTCAACAAAAAATACAAGCTCTCAAAGTTGAAACGTGCATGAGGTTATGAAATAAAGGGGATTAGGCTTTTACTATATCCACTCTACTGGAAAAGGGAAATGCAAGATAGAATCTAAGTTAGCCGAGGTGATGGTCTTTGAGTGCTCTGGCATTGGCGCAGGTTAAGTTGGAGCTTAATAGGGTCATGCATACCAAATGAAAGTTTTAAATTCATGTTCTACCACTATTGCTTAATGATTGATTGATCTAGTGGTAGCATATGAATCTGTTCATGAGCGAGTGAACCCATGTACTTATTCTATTTGGATTGCAATCAAGTGACAAGTACAACCTCAATAAGATAACCACTTAATGCGTGTGAAAAAGCTTAGAGAGGGTTTAAATTGGACTTGGAAGCTTATGCAAATCATTTAGCTCAAGTCAACAAAGAAGAGGCTCGTGAAGATTACAAGAGTTCAAGAAGAAGGAAACAGGTGCTAAATCCAACAAGTGGTGTGCACATCACCACTATGTTAGCAAAAGTGGTATCTAGGTCGTCACGTCCCTACAAATAGTAGGCTTGCAGAAGTGGTATCTAGTTCATCCAAATCAAGTGGTGTCAATTGGTGGTAGGTGATCCTCAACTTTAAGTGATATCCAAATCGAGAAGGCAACCCTCACCTACAAGATTCAAGGCATATGATATATAGGTAGTGTCCATAAAAATGCACCACATAGTACGTACACATAGTACAACTCTTACAAGTGGTGTCAACCTTCCAAAAGCTTTGGTGCAACCCTTTTGTGGCAATTAATGACAAAGGGGGAGAAATTGTGCACAAAGATATAAAAATGAGATAGGAAGAATTGGACATGGACATGGACTAAGGGGGGCTATTGAATCAATTGATGAGATAGCAAGTGGGATCAAGAGCTAAATCTTGCAACAGGGGCATATGTTTTCACCAACAAGAGCAAGATTGAAGAATAGAAGGGGATTAAAATTCTTGAACAAGAGAAGCACACAAGTAGAGGGAGCAGCCTCATGAATTTTTTGTTTGATGCATTTGAGTTGTGCACTACACTTGCTTGGTTTCATATGCATAATAGTTTACATGTAGTATCTAGCTTGTGTGCAAGTGTGTATCTAGAACTTAGTCTCAGCTTACAAGTTAACTAGCACCTTGTTTATAATGTTGATTTCACGTGGTATCTAGTTTCACTTGTGTCTAGCAAAAGATGATGGTAAGGATGATTTCAAAGTGGTATACATGCTACAAAGTTACATTTTTACCTAGTATACCTTAGCATCACTTAGTAGTGGTAAATCTCCCACAAATTTCATATTTCTGCTTGTGTGCAAACTTGAAGCCAAACCACTTGAGGACACATGTAGGGAGAGTTATTATCACTACCAAGTCAGGTTTTGTGGTGCTTATCCAAATCTTAACAAATAAGCTTAAAGTTGGATAAGCAACTCAAAATCCAAACCAAGTCAGCAGTTTACACTTGTGTGAAGTGCTAGCTTGGAAAATGCTTAATTACCATATCTTTGTAGAGATTGCCAAAAAAGGGAGATCGAAAGTCCTAGATTGGCTTGGTAATTAACTGACAACCTTAGGTGGACTAATGTGTTTCATGTGAGATGAACAGGTACACTAGTATGAGCAAGGCATAGAGCCATGGTGGAGAGGTAGCTTGGACATGTGATGATAGTGCTCAACTAGTGAGATGAAGGAGCTCATTGCATATGAGACAAGACATGGTGTCACAGGCTAGGTGGAGAAGATCAAGAGACGATTCTTGGCTATGAAAGACCAAGTTCCAAGTGCAAAGGACAAGCTAGAGGCTCAGGATTGATGGACCATCGAGGTGGTGAAGCACGAATAGAAGGCTTGGCGTCGATAAACCAAGGCAACAATGAAAAGTAAAAGAGGCTGTGATAGATGAACCAATAAGGCCATGTGAAGCTATGGAGTGGATCATATCAGTCATGAAGTTCAAGCCATATGAAGACTTGTGTTGATTACAAGTGGCTTGATGGTGGATGATGGAGGTTGGATGATTGTGCGGCATTACCGACATGGAAATGGAATAGAATGCGAAAGGCAAAGGTATATTTGTAGGACATTTCATTTCACCAGTCAATAGTTGAATAGAGAAGTGTTTGACCGGATTTAGAATAGATAGCCATACTATCAAGAGGGACAAACTTATTTGCATATCAATTATCTAGTGCCACTTGAGTGATCTAACTTTGTATACGTGCTAGGATCGAGTGACGGTTGAAAACATGTTTGAAAATCTTTAGAAAAATTATTTGAAAATGCTAATGTGAATTGAAGGTGGTGGTTGTCTTGAAGGGAAACACTTGAATTAGCATCTTTTCAAAGGTTACATCTTCAAAATGGTTCAAACCGGTGGTGAAGACGGTGGCATGAAGGGTGGCAAGAAGCCCTTTGGTGGGCTACTGCTGGCGGCCTAGCGGTCTGACTGCTAGGAGGGCTGGTCCTACTATCGTTGGGACAAAGTGGCTTAGTGCAGCCTCCAGTGGCGCATTGACCACGTCCTAGTGGCCAATCCAACTAGCCTAGACGGTTAGACCACGTGTGGTGTCTGATCTGATCGTGCCTGCGGCCGGTGCGCAAGAGCGACCCATGTTTGAATGGTGGCGCATGTTGCCTTTCAGTGGGCACTAGAATGGGCCTACTGGATGGTGAGTCTAGAGAGGGTGCAAGGGCGTCAATGTGGCCTCCAAAGTGGTTCGGTGTGGGCACTGGAGCCTGCACCGAAGTTACGGGCCAACCGTTGGAGGTGCTGTGGGCTAAGGCCGGTCTGACCATCACTGTGGTAGGTTTGACCACAACCTATGGGAGGCCTAGCTATCAATAGCCATTGCCACGTCCTGGCTTGTGACTATTGGGTTGACTGCCAGTGCACAGAAGCTGCAGGATGGAGCTTTTAGCTGCTCTTTGCCCCCCCCCCCTCTATATATAGAGGGGTGGCCAACCATTTGGAGAGTTTAGGCACCTTGGGGATATGTTGCCCATGTGTAGTGCTTGATTTTAGACCACCACTCATGATTAGTTGTGATCATATCTGATTGAGTGAGTAAACGATTCTAATGTATTGCTTTGAGAGATTGTAAGTGTGTCACTATATGATCATGTTGCAAGTTGGTGGTGCTTGTTACTCTTGGAAGTTGCTAGCTCCTAGATGGCTTGGTTGCTTGTGGACTTCGTCATAGCATGCACGGGGATTGTGAGGTACTTCAAAGTGAGATCACATTGTGAGGGTTGTTGTGCTCGCCCCATGAGAGATTGCGAAGAGCAACTACTAGTTATCGGGGACCGAATACTGGGGTACCCAAAGAGGAGGAGCTAATAACCATCAAACGTTGATGCTTCCGAACGGACAAGAACGCAACTACACTTCTTGCCCGAACGACTGAAGATTGGCTCCTCCTCGCCCGACCCCTAAGGGCCGGACTCTGCCTCGCTCGACGTCTGGGGATGGGCTCCGCCTTGCTCGACGTCTGGGGATGGGCTCCGCCTCGCCCGACGTCCGAGGGCAGGTTCCGCCTCACCCGACGACGAAGGGCGGGCTCCGCCTCGTCCGACGTTTGAGGGTAGGTTCCGCCTCGCCCGACATACGAGGGCAGGCCCCGCCTCGCCCGACGTCCGGGGGCAGGGCTCCGCCTCGCCCGACATCCGAGGGCAGGCCCCGCCTCGCCCGACATCCCGGGGCAGGCTCCGCCTCGCCCGACATTCGAGGGCAGGCCCCGCCTCGCCCGACTTCTGAGGGCAGGCTTCGTCTCGCCCGATGTCCGAGGGCTGGCTCCGCCTCGCCCGACGTCCCGGGGCAGGCTCCACCTCGCCCGACGTCTGAGTGCAAGTTTCGCCTTGCCCGACATCTGGGGACAGGCCCCGCCGACGTCCCGGGGCAGGCTCCGCCTCACCCGATGTCTCGGGACATGCTCCTTCATAATGAGGAACACGGGGTAAGACAAGACACTCAAGTTAACCGCAGCACCGAGGACCATACCCTGCACGCCTACGGGAAAGTACCATCAGGATATGACAGGACAGGCGCTTTAAGCCCTTCAGGCATGTCAGAGCCTAAACAGTGTTGTAGGCATCGACTTTCGTCTTACAGTGTTGTGGGCGCCGCCCTCAACCCTCGAACGTGGATCCTGACATAAGCATGTGACAACCACTACGATCCAACTCACATCATATACAGTAATGGACATATGGTCACTTCCCCATCTGCTCCCCATAGGGTCGCGGTTCGGCACCCTGGTGCGCCGCGCCGCCCGTCGGGACGGGATGGGACGTGACCACTTGCTGAACGAAGCCAGAGTACGGCCCTATCAAGATCAGCGAACGTGCTATCCCTAGCATCGTCTGCCATGTCAGTGGAACTGGCTCAGAGGAAAAGGAAGACCCGGCACCTTCGAATGACCTTCTTGGCCTCTGGTTTTTCTTCTTTCTCCCATCTGTAACCCCTGCTCACTCTTGATCCATAAAAGGGGAGGCAGGGCACCCCACTAAGAGGACGGATCAATCCAACACACAACGCATCACATAACACACAGTTGAGCAGCAACCGAGCTCTTGGCATCCTTTCGACCTTTCCATCAGAGACTTGGGACCTGTCCCTCTCTCGATTGTTTGTAACCCCTACTACGAACCTTTTCAGTGCTAATAACACGAGCAACAGCCGTACACTAGACGTAGGGACATTCTGCCCGAACCAGTATAAATCTTGTGTCTTTTAGCACACCATCCAGGCCTAACGCGCAACAAATACAAATTTACTAGTTGGTGCTTACTCGAAACACTGACACTAGTAGAGCGAGATGCGAAGAGCGCCAAGTGGTTCGCACATCTCAAGGGGTGAGTGCGAGCTTGCTACTAGCAAGAGGATCAGCAACAACCTTAGTCTTGCCTCAATGGGGATTAAGTGGTTGGCAAACCACCGAACCTCGAGATAAAAATCATCATGTCAACTTTTGACCCCACTTGGTTTGCAATCCTTTAGACTAGCTTGCATTACTTCTTAATTACTTGTGCTAGTGTTGTAGTTATTCTTCTGTATCTAGTTAGCTTGTGTAGCTAAGTAGTTGTAGCTCCCTAGTTGTGCTTGTGTAGTGTAACTAGTTGAGTAGTGTGTGTAGTTTGTGCTTTGTGTTTTGCTCACTATTATGTGTAGGTGCCTTTGGTTGCTTGCTTGAATAGTTGCATAGGTTAATGTGACCTTGTAAACTAGAATTGTGTAGGAGAGCTCCCACTAGCTCGGCACCTAAGTATCATCTTGTGTAGGATCTTTGGTTAGGTGCTTGTGATTTAGATAGATGGGTGTAGTTGAGGCTAGACTGGTTAGTTTCATTTTGTCGCTTTGATCGATTAGCTCTAAGAATTTAGAAATGACAATTCACTCCTATTCTAGTCAGTCATCTCGACCCTACACTGTCTCTATAAAGGGTCGGATGGCCTCTAGGAATATGCCCGCTTCTGAAAATCACAAAGGTGGGGCGCCTTAAGGCGACTGCTTTTGAAAATCATCGATTAACAAAGATGGTCGTCTTAGGACGGTCTTTGTAAATTGATTTTCAAGTGGGCATCTTAAGATACCCGTCTCTACAAATAGTTGTACCTAAAAATAATTTATAACCTTTCATATGAACTCGCATGAAGAAAAACTTTGTATTAAAATTGTAGCCCACAACGTGATGTACTACTTTGTAGTTGTGAAGGATTTGAAACTATCTAGAGTCTCAAAATATTATTTTAAGTTTACAAATTTTTAAATTTTTAAATTAAAATTTTAAAATAACCTTGGATGTTGCTATATATATGGTCTATGCCAAAGTTGTGTTCTCAATACAATGTACGACTTTGTAGTTGATTTTTTTATTTTAAGCCGTTTAGAATCCTAAATATGTGTTTTAAGTTCATATATTTTGAAACTCAAAATTTAAAATTTCTAATTGATCTTGAATGTTCACGTAGTTAATACTAAAGTTGTAGTGACCGACCTGATCTTTATGTTTTCTATTGATAATTTTTTGATTTGATGCTTTTTAGTGTCTCGAATATTTATCTTAAATATATATATTTTGAGATTCAAATTTTTTAAAATTTTCAAACAATCTCAGATGGAGACACACCCTTTATCAAAACGGTAGAACCGATGAGACCTAAAACTTTATAGTTGAAACTTTTTTCATTTAAAATCATTTAGAGGCTAAAATATTCAATATAAGATTATAAAATATTAATAAAAAAAGATAGTTATCTAGATATATACAAACAAAAGAGTGTGTAGTCCACTGGTAGATAAGTGTTATGTGCGTGCTAGCCGTCTTAGGTTTAAACACCCAAAGACAAAAAAATGGTTTTTTGAGTTTTTAAACCATTAACTGGACCGTCTCTATAAACGTTATTAGTAGAGTCAGATATGCCCGCCTCCGCTAATCCATTTAATAAGACACCTCGGGAAATAAAAATGCTTTTCTGAAACTGCTCTCTGTGGCAGTGTTTGGCACTATCTTCTTTCATTTATTACGTGCTATCTCCATGCAATTTGTAGATTTAAGTTGTTCGGCTGATGGTTTTTATGGCTGATAAGCCGGCTATAGCTGTTTTGTTGTGAGAGAAAGACACTGTACCCTGACTAATAAGTCGGTTGCGGCTATTTTGGTGTGAGAGAAAAACACTGTACCCTATCATGCCATCCGAGTGCTCTAGCTTTTATGGTTTTTAATAAACGAATGTAACATTTCAGCCTCCAACATTCACAAACGAACGAGTATAGCCGTTTAATTAGTACAGACCTATGGTGCCTAGACCACACTCCACCATACGGTGAAATAAAAGACATAAAACAAAAGAACGAGACTCATGTGTCTACCCTAAACCCAAACTTACTGCAGAATTCTAACAACATGGCCTCGCACAAGCAACTGTCTTCCCCTACTGAAGACAAGGCGCCATACATCTTGCACAAATGCGAAGCACCGCCGCCCAAGAAGTTGGGGTTGCATAAACCTACCAAACAACGATGCGTGAAGATGGACCTCCAAAACGATGCCACCAAGGACAAGGACGAGAATCGCCGATGCCGCCCGCCTCAAAATTTGTGGCAAGGTTTTCACCTGAAGATCAATGGAGTGCTATGACAGCACCTCCAAGAAGGGAAACGGCACCTGAAGGTGTCAGTGTGTCGTCATTGTCAAGACCGATACCGATCATCAGCAAAGCTTTTGCCAGCACCTCCGTGACACCTAACCCATTATCCACACATAGAAATAGTCCTCCACCAACACATCGGAACCTACAACTCACCTCAAGACCATGGCGTAGCCACCCTCGAGCTCCATGATGAGTCGTTGCATGCTACGCTTGCCACAGAAAAGCCACCACACAACGCCTATGCGCCACAACCAAGGAGTTCTCGGGACATAAGCCATGGAACCGGCTGTCCCAAGAGTGGCTCGGCATCCAGCCAAATTGTTGGACTGACTTTGACCAAAAAGTCGCACAAATTTAGATGAGGGAAACCGAATCCCACCATGGCCACACCGAATCAATCGCCGTCATCTCAAGGAGTCGACAGACCGTATATGCACACGGGAGCCGAGATGGGGAGGGCTCGTCGGTAGCTCTGCCATCACGCTCGACGCCCACGACAACGCGCACACCGATAGCCACGCCCACGCGCACGCTGGTAACCATACCCATGTGCTTGGGGAAGCCACACCTCGCACGCTCGTGGCCATGCAAGCTCACATCGCCGTGCCACGCACAACATCACCTCCTTGCCTGTTTGATCCCACGCTGTCGCTGATCCAGCCGCCGTTTGTCGCTACTATGTGGACAGCCGCCTCATATCTGGCCACGACAGCCTTAGATTGAGACGAGATTTCACCGCCACGACCTTCCTAGCGCCTGCATGAGCCGGCGGTGTGCTCCAGCGGCCATGCAGCACTGCAGCAGAGAGGAGAGGAGGAGTGAGGGTGGCGTTGCCTGGTTGCCGCTAGCAGGTAGAGGGGAGAGGAATGCTCCCGGCCTGAGGGGAGTGTGTCGCTCCCTTGGTCTTTGATATGGGACATTACTTGTGTCAACGCTACTTGTGTATGGGTGCACATTAGTGACCCTAAAGAGAACTCAAATCGTTTTCAACCTCTAAAGTCCTTCTTACTCTCTTTAATATCTATACAATTCGGACGGGCTAATGGATGGAGGGTCTCTCTCTATGTGTGTGTGTTTTTTTATAATTAGGGTCTCTCCATTTAACACCCACCGAGGCAGTCGCTGGGGTTATTCGCATGTCGTTCCTATCTAAGCTAAGAGCATCTCCAAGAGTTCCCAATAAAGCCTCTCAATCTAGGAATTTTGGCAAAAAAAGAAAAAAACCCATCTCTAAAAGCTCCCAATCCCACCTCCCAATCTTTTGGCACTTGGGAAAAATCACCGAAAGCGCGTATCTTTGCGCGCGTGCAAGACGTGTGTATCAGTCTGCCAATCTAAGATGGAAGAGCGTGGGAAAGAATAAAGGGCAGAAAAGGGTTCCCGATGCAAATGTATAAGAGAGAAAGAATATATAAAAGTGGTTAGAATAATTTAGAAATTATATAGGATTTCTCATGTAAAATTGTCTTTTATATTTTGGGAGTGAATTATTGAAAACTGTTGAAGATGGTATTATATATTTATTTCTTCCAATAATTTTTGGCAAGTTGGAAAACTTTATGATTTTGGGAAGAAATTATTGAGAACTCTTGGAGATGATTGATGGGAGAGCTAAGGGTTCTGCTTTTATTCTCATCATAAATTCATAATTTTATTGGATGCGATCAAAAAATTCATAGTTATATTTAGATAACTGATAATTGGATATTGTTCATAAAATAGTAACAATTCTAAATACCTTCTAAAGGGGATCATAAATATTCAGCCTTGGATTCACGAAACTAATTGACGGGGGGACCTAAGGGTTCTGCTTTTAATCTCATCATAAATTCATAATTTTATTGGATGCGATCAAAAAATTCATAATTATATTTACGTTGGTTTTTAAATAGATAACTCATAATTGGATATTGTTCATAAAATAGTAACAGTTCTAAATACCTTCTAAAGGGGATCATAAGTATTCGTAAATATACATTCAAGGGAAGAGTAGATTTGAACCACTTCTCCATTTATACTAAGAGCTATGAGTCTAAAAAAAACGCTTCTCACTACTCCCTGTGTGGTTTGGCAGAGCACATTCCAGGTGAGTTGAGGAGGGACCTTATACTAAGAAGTAATTCTATGCTTATTCTGTGAAGAGGGTTACTGAAATAAACTAGCTAGGGGCTGGGAGTTAGTGTATGCATAGATATTATCCTAGATAATCGTAGAGAAATATTTTCAGTAAAAAATTGAAGCACAAGGAGTTCAACCCAATAGTCCCTCCCAGTTAGAATCACTTTTCACCTACTTCTCACCCATCTCCTTAACTAGAATCACTCCATCAGAGAATTAAGAAGCTAGGGCAAGGTAGAGTCGAGAATTAAGGAGTGCCGGCAAACGTGTGTTATCTTCTGCAAAATTCTTGTTGCGACCATCGGCCCCCGAAAGCCAAGTGGTGTTCGATAGAAATTTATGTGCCATGCACATGGTGACCACGATTCATATAAACATAATATATATATATATATATATAAGATATAGGTGTACATACCCGATGGTTTGGAGGAAGGCAATAATGGTGATGTACCAGAAGTCCGTTTGTTTCACCAGTGTCGAGAATCCACCGAGCAGGACAACGGTCGCCCATACGGTCGCCAGCGTCCCCAAGCCGTTCATCGCCTTGTATGCGAGTGCCTTGCTGAGGATAAAGAAGTTGAGCCACTCTTCCGGCAGCAAGTCCCCCATGATTTTTCAGGCTGTTGTCCCCCTTTGCTTCCTGGCTATCCTAGCAATGGGACTAATCGCAGATACTAGGACGGTGTTACACATGATGAGTTCAACGAAACACGTTACATATAGACTTGCAGCTTTTGTCCAGAGTATTATCTGTCACAAAAAAAACTTTTGTAGCTTACAAGCTAGCACAGAACATAGATTAAAGTATGCAAGCAAGGAATAAAGAAATTGGTGTGGTTAAAGATCTAGGGACCGCAACGTACGTTACAAACTACTGCTATTCCTAATGATGCCCCGGGAGACAGTCCTTACATACAAAAGAAGACGGTAAATAATTATCTTTTAGAGAGGAAAAACAAGATGGTAACTACTTTCCTAAAAGAGAGAAAAAAAGATGTGAAGTTTATGCAGGCCCGGTCCTGGCGGGGGTCGAACAGTGCCCCAGCCTTTGGGCCCCTCCCAGGAATCTAAAGGCAGCGTTGTTTTGGTTTGTCAGCCAACCTCGTGGCATCGTCTCATGCTCGACTTTGGCACACGGCAGACGAAAGGCAGACGGACGTTGCTGTTCTAGTACTACTTTGTGTATACAGTGTTAGAATGGAACATCCAATTAAACCTTTTCTAAAATTGTAGGCCTATGCTTGTATAATCTCTCAGCTTCTATACATGTGCTTGTGCAACGTGACTTTGTCAATAGACTATTAATTCGTATACCTTGTATCGTTTACTCAGTTTCATTATTTGTTACTTCCTCCATCTAAAATAAGTACACATCCTATTAATCAAGGAGTCAAATATTTTTAAATTTAATCAAATATATATATATATATATATACTAATATTTATTATGTGCAATAAGCATTATTACATTAGTTGTGGAATATATTTTTGTAATAAACTTATTTCAAGATACAAATGTTAATATTATTTTATATATACTAGTAGCCATGCACGTGCGACACGCACGTGTCTATTAAAAAATTCATAAACATCAATAATGTCATTTTTTCACAACTCTTCGTCGTCATTGTCCTCCCCCATTACATAATGTAAAGAAGTTACTAGAGTGAAAATCAAGTCACCATGTTTATTTCAAAACACATTCGTATTCGGTGCACAGCGACATGCACGTATCTATTAAAAAATTCATAAACATCAGAGGAACAATAATGTCATTTTTTACAACTCTTCTTCATCATTGTCCTCCCGCATTACATGATGTAAAAAAGCTAGCAAAGTGAAAATCAAGTCACCATGTTTATTTCAAAACACATCCATATTTGGTGCACATATTATTTAAAAATTTGTATTTGATCTATAGCCAAGTAACTGCAACCATACTCAGAGATAGTGCAAAGGAATAAACAAATTATTCAACTGAAAATTAAGGAGATTACAGTCATTTAAAAATGTAACCTTTTAACAAAATACAGTATAAATTGTCACCATCAGCAGCAAATTGTTGTAGCCCCACACAACACGATAATGAGTGAGGTAGCTTGTACCCTGCAAAGACTCCAAATCATATTATATAGTCCTGAGCCAGCCTATGTTCCTAGCACCTATTGTCAAGAAACAAAGTAGAGAAGGATTACGTTACAAAATTATTTTTTTGAAGGTTATGGTATAATGTGATTTGTGTCTAATTTAAGAGAACTTTACATAAAAATATAGCACAATAGCCAATGCAATAACAAATGAAAATTAAAAAGTGACAGATCAACTTATTAATAAATGCTGAGAAGTTTCACAAACGAACTAGCTTGAAGATCAAACATCTAAATTAGCATGGATGTAATAACAGCGAAGGGATATGCCTACAATACTATATCACCATTCTTCTTACAAAGGAGCTCCTAGAAGGGTTTCTGCAGAGAAAGAGGCTCACTGAGATTAATTAGGGACCCAATTTGAAAAGATTTAGTTCAATGTAGTGGTAGTAACTGGATTTTAATTTTTTTTCTAAATATATAGTGCACCATAGCTGGATATTGATTATTTCTCTATTTAATGAAATTATCAATGGATCATTGGTTGTTCAATTGCCACAAGAGGTATGGAGGTAGAGTTTATCAGAGAAATGAGCTTAACATACAAATCCTGCATTGCTCATAGACTACCATTACCAAATTTATTAACAGTGTTACATCAACCTTCTTAAACCCAGCTTTGCCCTTCTCATGACGCTTTTCATCAGTTGGCATAAAAAACATTCGAACAGCATACTCGCCTGGTGGCGGTAGCTCAAACCCAACTTCCTTTGCGACCTGGAGGAACACTAAAGCAAAAGCATTGACTAACTGTCGAAAAGAACATTTTTGCTTTCTTCTATTTCTCATTGCCTGACTAATAAGACAGATTGATATAAACAAAGAAAATGGGGCAGTATGGCTTAGGATGAAGAGAACAAACCTCAGCAGCAGGACCAACTGCCTTATCAGGGAATCTGCAACCAATGAAGGACATCAATGTACGACACTTACATATTTGCAATTTGCAAACAGTGAAATAAATCAAACCTGAATATGCAACCAGTGAAAGACATCAACCTACTACA